CTTAAACTTGTAGCATATTGTGATGAAGACTGGGCAGGAAACCAGAATGACAGACAAAGTATGACTGGTTACTGTTTTGATCTATTTGAGACCGGGCCCATTATTTCTTGGAAATCAAAGAGATAGTCCACCGTTGCTTTATCCACACATGAAGCAAAATATATTGCCTTGGCTTCTGCTTATACATACAAGGTATTGTGCCAAGATGTATTTGTATATTCAAAGTTAATACCTGCAGTTCAAACTGGACATGCATGATTTTTTTGTTTACCAAATACGGAGTGAAACACATTAATTTTTCATTTCTTAAATCTCTTGTAGAAAATGCCAGAAAATCACATGATCACATGATCAGAAAATCGCTCTTCAACATGCCTGGCTGTTTAGCCTGCCTCCCTGTGCTTAACTGCACCATCTTTGCCATGTCTGTCTCTTTGTCGGCCTCTCCTTCTCTTTTTTTCTGCTTCGGGTTTTGTGCTTCCGCTATGGAAGTAGTCATCAGGCTGTGCCTCATCTCTTCTCCTCTGCTGCTCTGATCCAACCTGGGACAGCCTTTGAACACTTAGCCTTGGGTAACCTCCCTCCCTAATGAGGACCGCTCTGCTGCCTGCTTATTAACACCATGCTAGCAGAGCAGATGGGAGTTCCAATCAATGCAGTTCATTTTCTCTGTTGTGGGGATGTGTATAGATGTGTGAGGCACTACATCTGGTCTATTGATAATCATTCCGCACAGCTGCTTCATGCACATGCAGCATGCCGATCTGCTGAGCGTTTGCTGAGAGCAGTAGGGTGGAATAAACCGACTGTGATTTGACAGTACTGTGGATGAGATCAAAACTAACGGGATTGACTTTGATTAACTGGTTGGAATGCCAGAGGACTTTTAACCTTCCTGCTGCCCTTGGGTCAAAATGACACATAAGGCCTCAGTTTCAAAACTGAGGTCTTATGTGTCATTTTGACCTAAGGACAACAAGAATAAGTTCTAAAATGTGAATGTGTTCCCAAAATACATTGCACGTATTGAAGTCATATCAGATACAGCTTATGCTGTTTTATATGTAATGCATCTATCAGCTAAATCTTAATGCTTTTTTCTTTTTTTATCTGCTAAAATCTCATTACTCGGCTGCCTGGTTTAACACAGCCACGTACATCGTCATGTACAAACACTAATTCCAATGACATTTAGACTATCCTCCTTCATGTGCAATCGCTTTTTGCCGTTCAGCATTTCAAAGAGATCTCAGGCCCATCTGGGATCTGAGGCTGTAGAGGGTGACTTCGTCTCCCAGGCTTCAAAGAGGAAATGCTGTGGCAATATTGCTCAAGAGGATGCTACCTGAGTTGGGTTTAGATGACAGTTTGAAGAGTGCTTTCTAGAATATTGCAAAGGAGGGAATAATGTAACCATGTGTCAACAAAAATCAACAAAAATATGAAGAGAAAAAGCAGCTTTCTGGATGCATTTCTTAGTAGCTGCAGATGGTAACATAATTTGCAAAAACATTTAAAAATAAGAAATGTTAAATGTTTCAGAATGCTTTTAGACCACAATCTTCCAACGAAGGTTTGCATATAAAGTGACCTAAGTTGTTGTGGTACATTTAAAGGCAGCTGTAACAATGGTGTACAGCTGAGCTGAAGCACTCATTACGTGGCAAATGATGTATTTTGAATAAAGTGAGCCATTTAAACTAGACTTTAAACTGTAAGTGTCACGGTCAGCGGCCCCCGCTGCCCCCCCATCTGCCAAGCCTCTGCCACCTCCTTCAAGCTGCAACCAGAAACCAACATTTATATCTTCAAACTATCATCCCACAGTCTTAATCATTTCCTTCTATTTCAAGTTTCTGTCTCTGTCTGCTTTTTATATTTTTTATTGTTCT